GATAATCCTGTCCTGTTCATTCATTTCCTAGGAGGTTACCTAAATGTGATGAAGGTTGTTTGATTTAATGGATACTTAGTCTCTTGATCTAGTGAGAGTCTTGGGACATTTTAAGAAAGGGAAGGAGCCGGGCGCAGTGGCTCACACCTGTAATCCCAGCACTTTGGGAGGCCAAGGTGGGCAGATCACTTGAGGCCAAAAATTGGAGACCAGCCTGGCCAATATGGTGAAATCTCATTTCTACTAAAAATACAAAAATTAACTGGGCATGATGGCGCATGCCTGTAATCCCAGCTACTTGGGAGGCTGAAGCAGAATTGCTTGAGCCTGGGAGACAGAAGTTGCAGTGAGCCAAGATTGTACCACTGCACTCTAGCTTGGCTGACAGAGCAAGATTAGATGTCAAAAAGGAAAAAAAAAAAAAAAAAAAGAAACAGAAGGGAAAGTATAACAGAAAGAAGCTGACATTAGAGGTACCTTGGTCTCTTGCCTTTTCTGGGAGTCACATAGAAGCACGAAAGCCAGTTATATGTCACTCACTATACTCTGCTTTTGCAGTTAATTCCTGGCTCTCCTTATTGTGCACCTATCATGTGGCAGGCCACAGCTAAGGGCGTCCACATACATTCTTACATTTGCCCCTCATAACCACTCTTCCAGGCAAGTTTTATCATGCTAACTTTTCAAATGACAGAACAGGGGCTCCCAGAGGTTAAGTGGCTTGCTCCAAATCACATGGCTAATAAGTAGCAGTGTTAAGGTTCAAACCTTAGTTTCCTAATCCCAGATATATTTCGGTTGAGTACACTGTTCCTATCCAAAGTGGGCTTAGTTCCATATTCAGAGGCCATGTAGAAGGAGGAGGAATAGCCTTCATTCCTCCTGACTAGGTATGTCATTAAATAGGTGATTTGCCAGGATATTTTGACTCTAATAAGGCTCTTTATTGAAGGCTTATTTGTGTCCTCTAGTTATTTAATCATCATTTCCAGAACAAAAAAAATGTAATAATAAAAAATAACAAAAAGCTATCCTAAATTTCCAAGCTTGGAATGTAAATGACTCTGCTGCGTTGGCCTCAATTTACATGCCTATGAATTCAACTTTACAAGAGTCTCTGTCCTCTGGCAACATTCTGTGAAATCCTGTCTCTGTGAGACTTTCTGGTTGGGGCCCAGTGCTTTAGTCCTGGCTTCATTTCCTGGAGTTCATGTCCTCCTCAGGTTTTTAATTTATACTTATTTATGATGCTTCTAGGTTAAGTCTCTGGTTTCTGTAAGAAATTCAGTTTCCTCTGAAATTCTCTCTACGATGTAAACTACAGATGAGAGTGGTAGAATGATTCTGATAAGAGTGGTAGTCTTGATTCTACTCAGTCTTATGAGAGTGGTCCATTTTTAGAGACCCTTTGATTTTCTCAGTTAACATTTGTTAAACATCTAAGCTGCAGGTACTGTACTTAGTGCTGGAGATATAAAAGTTTTGCTGCCCTTGAGGCTGTCCTATTTGAGAGGCAGAGATGGAAAAAAAAAAATTCTGAAACAGTGTGGCAAGTACCCAGGACCAGTACTGGCACAAAGGCAGGAGAGAGATCAATACTGCCTATCAGAAAGAACAGGTCTAAATGGAGGAGGGGGTGCAATGAGGCACCCAATTTTCAGATTTTGGGGGGAACATCATTGCTTTTCCTTGGGCCTCCCAGAAAGATAGAGAAAGCCAATGGTTTTGCAGGTTTGTGGTGTGCCAGCAACTGTTCCTCCCATTAGTGGATCATAGGCGGCTTCTATCAGAATATGTCTAATTTGAGGACAAATGCTACCTTATCTTTTTTTCTTATTACATCTACTTAATTTTCTCAGTCTGTCTTAACCAAGGGTCCCCTAGGTTTTTAAACAGGCAGAACCATATAACCCAATGAATAATAAAGTTTTGATAAAACCTTGGGATTAAAAGTTAACCGGATGATTACAGCCACAGCAATTCAGATCCTTCTAGAAGGTTGAGTCATCACTTAGGCCTTCAGCATGGACCATGAAACGTCTCCTCTTCCTGTCTTTCTACAGCTAAAACTTTCCAAGTACATTTCCATGATAAATAAGAGTTAGCCTTGAATAGAGAGTTTTCTATTTTGGTCTCAGCCTCTTGGGAAATCAAGTCTAGAAGAAAAGGCTAAGTAGTATAGCCTTAATCATAGCCAGGCCTGACAGCGGTCACCGTGTCTCTTCTATAGAGGCCACTGTACCTCTTATGACCTGAAATGTGACAGGAGATGTGTTCTAGGCCTCTTGGTTCCATTTCTGGAGAATTATGCAAATGTCCCCATTAAGCTGGGGACCTGTCAAAGGACAGATCATTATCAATTTTGTTGGTGCATTAACCGAGAAGGGTTGTATTAAAGTAATTTGATAAAATATTTGGCCACAATAGTCACAATAATTGAAGATAAAGTCTAGGAGCTTGGGGAAATATGGCTAGAAACTTTGTTATGAGTTTTTTAACTGATAACATTTCTTATAATGCATTATTTCCTTAAATGGTAAGAGTCATATTACACAAAGTGTAAAGTCATAGGACCATCATTATAAGACCAGAATGAGGAATTTGATGGGTTGAGAATATAGTTTGGTATGGGTGTCTGGATTGCTCAGACTGTGGTATTTCACCCAAAAGCGGATAGAAAACAGTATTTGCAAGCAGAACTGCTTAAACAGAGGGCAGACTTTTCCTATATGTGGGTTCCTTAGCCCTGAGGGGCTGGACTAGGCCAGGAGAAGGAATCCTGATTAAAAGAAGGCCTTGTGGCTCACCTCTGTAATCCCAGCACTTTGAGAGGCTGAGGCAGGAGGATCACTTGAGGCCAGGACATCAAGACAAGCCTGGGCAACATTGCAAGACCCTGCCTCTACAAAAGAAATAATTTAAAAAGCTGGGTGAGATGGCATGTGCCTGTCTACCTGGGAGGTGGAGGTAGGAGGATGGCTTGAGCCCAGAATTCGAGGCTGCAGTCAGCTATGATCCTGCCACTACACTCCAGCCTGGGTGACAGAGTGAGAATTTTAAAACCCTGTCTCAAAAATATTTAATGAATTTTTTTTTTTTAAATAAAGAGGATACCAGAAACCTAGAACTAGAGAAATAGTAAATATGAAGCATCAAGAACAGATGAAGTAAAGCAAGAAATTTTGGAAACAGTCAAGTTGATGATAAGACAACCTGGAATGCATTCAAAAATATGGTGCAAGAGGGCTTGGGGTCAAAGGCTCAGAAAGCAGGGCAGGAAAATGAGAGAGCCCTGGAAATCTGCTTTCTGTGATGCTGGTAGAGATGCTGAATAAAGTGAAGGAATCAGACGTGGGTGCACACTGAATCCTTCTGGATTTACACGGTGTTAGAATCCCAAAAACATTTGAGTGCTGCAGGTCTTGGAACTCCTCCAACTCAACCATCTCAATTTACAGATGAAGAAACTGAGGCCCAGTGCACACAGATATTTAGTGTCAGGCAGGATTCCCATTCAGAGTGCTGGGCTTTCTCTGTGACTTCTCCACACTCCATCTGACTAGCTGATTTTTCAGTTCCACATATAATCAGCTACTATATGCCAGGCCCAGTGGTAGATGATGCTGATTCAAAGGTGCCTACAACTATTATGATCTAATTGGTGAAACAGAGCTTCAGAACTATTTCTAACTGGTAAAAATTACCAAAAGATTTTAATACATGGCTAAATGCACATATTAACAATGCTAAATGAGAAAACAGCAATGAAATTGTGTATATATTTGGCCCTTGAACACATATTTGAACTACACAGGTCCTTATACAGATTATTTTTTTTCCACCCCAAAGCAGATAGAAAACAGTATTTGCAGGCTGAACTGCTTAAACAGAAGACAGACTTTTCCTATAGGTAGGTTCCCCAGGGCCCACAGCTAGATTTGAACTTGAATATGAGATGATCTAAGTATGGGGGTGCTGAGGGGAAGAGGGCCTAGAACCAGTCCTTGAGTATACCAAGGGATAATACTAAGTATGTTATGATCTCATTAGAAGTACACAGAATGGGGGATAGGAGGCAGCAAACCACATTGCCATGTACGTACCTATGCAACAATCCTGCATGATCTGCACATGTACCCCAGAACCTAAAGTACAATTTTAAAAAGTATATGGAAACTTGAGATATGTAATAACCCACTAAAGAACCGTGAGTGTTACAGAACACTTCTGTCCTAAGTACTTGTGCACTTACTTGATCTCCCTGCTTTAGGGCCAGGACCGGGTTTTGTACTCATTGATATATCAGTGCATCTTGCCCCAGACCTGTCACTCGCTAGAACTTGTTAAACAAACGCAGCTTCCTTCCTCACGTGGCCCCCTCTCCAAAGGAGTACCTCTCCTAAAGAGGAGAATCAGAGAGAAAGCATGAGGTTAGAATGCTGGTGGGACTGAGACGGGAAAGGGCCTTAATGTTTACCTGCCCAAAGAAGAAAACTAGCGTTTTCCCTGCAGATGGAAACTGACGCGCTCCCCCTGGAGGCAGCGCAGGATGCTTCCGGGGGTCCAGGCATCCCAGCCTGGAGTCCCCATCCTGGTGTTTAGAATGGGCGCCCTTGGGAACCCTGGGCTAGAGGCGGCCATCACGCTTGGCGCTGGTGCAAGTTGGGGTGACCCTGCGGCTTGTGCATCCAGAGAAGCGAGGACCCCGGAGCAGACTGGCTTGAGGTAGGGTTAGGGAGATGCCCTCCGTTCTTCTAGACAGCTGGGGTCTCAACAGCAAGCAGCGGGGAATGAGACTAACTGAACAGCTCCTGAGACTATTAAAGGAGTACATACTCTCACAGGGACCTGCATCTCCTGTGAACCTACTGATGAATTTTTCCTAATGCTTAATTCAGCTTGTGGGCAGAAATGCTGGGGCGAGACGGCTGCCAGGTCCACCCCGTTCCTCCAGGGAAATCCCCTCTCCGTGCTGCCTCTGAGTCTCCTCTGCCCACCTCCTCCCCCTCGACTTTCCCCCCATCCCACCGCGCCCACCCCGCGTCATCTCCCCCTTTCCCCTCCCATCTCCCCACCGCGGCGCGGCGCGGCAATCTCCTCCTCAGCAGTCTGGGCTGCGAGCTCCGGGTGCTGTGGCCTGGCCCTGGCGGGGCGGCCTGCGGCTCTGGCTGGCTGCGAGGCTCCCGCTGCCGCGTCCCCGCCCGCCTCCTCTCGAGCTCTGATCTCAGCTGACAGTGCCCTCAGGAAGGAACCAGACTCGCAGGTAAAGGTGAAGCTCCCCCAACAGGGCAAGACCTTAGAACTTGGAAGTCTCCCTGAGAAAGGCAGGATCTACCGAGGAGAGCTTCTTTGAAGGGCTCTGAAGAAAAGGAACTTGGCACTTTCTTTCGGTCCTCCAAGAAACTAACCACCCTTCCCGTAGACAATTCTGTGTGCCGGCCTCTGCACAGTTTAATGTTAGCAGCAACAATGTTTGCATTGGAATATAAATGGAATTCTTACTGCTTAAGCAGTACCAGAGGAGACCCTCTTTATTTTTATGATTGTTAACAGATGCCATTGAGAAAGGTGTAAAACGCATTCCTGGAAAGTCTCTTTGGCAGGGTTACTATGAAAGCTGGCCTCTCCCCGCTGCCCTTTTATAAGCTTGGCTGCAGGGGTCAGCAAAAGGAGCATTGGAAAACGTTTAGAAAATGAGGCGAAATGAAATAGAAAACTTTTTTGACTTGCTTTGAAATATTCTAGTTGGAAAAAAAAAGCGTGTGGGGTGGTGAGGGTGGATGAAACAATATTGGTAAAATATTGACAATAGTTGACGCTGGTGAGGTGCACAAGGGGATTACACTTTTCTCTCAACTTTTAATACTTTTCTCTATGCTTTTTGTGTAGTCTTGAGATTTTCTATAATAAAATATTTTTTTTAAAGTTGGAGAGATTTTGTCACTACCGGCTCAGATGTCTTTAAAAAAGAATTTTTTTTTTTTAAAAGTTGTAGAAACACTCCCACTTGATTGCCTTGACATTTTACACTGTTGTTGATTTGAAAAGAAGCTTTGTGCCCTGTCTAGGGGTTTTTCACCCTTCCGACTTCTGAAATTCATTCTTATTTTGTCCAAAATACATTTGTCTCCACGGATTATAAAAGTCGTATTTTGCTGGCTGGAGAATTATACTTAGAATCTGCTTTATAGTTTAGAAGAGAGAAAGTTAAAGTCCCTGCCAACTAAGACATGCAGGCTAGAAAGTAGTGGCCAAGTATCATTTGGAATTTTATTTTTATTGGGAAATATTAGAGGAGTTCCTTTAATGGGAGAAGTGGTGGACGCTGATACTCTCCCCTACTTTTCTTCCAGATAGCTGGGAAACCTGTGTGCTTTTAAGAAGCTTTTTCACATTTTAAATGTGAGATTGTTTAGCATATACTTGGCACATAGTCTGTGCTCATTATATGTTAAAATAAACAATTGCTAGTGTGAGTTAATTTTCGCCATTGGGTAAATTATTTTCTTTTGCCCAATGCCCAAATATCCAACAAGCATATTGCATTTTAACAGTAGGATCAGACTCAGAATTTGGGAGGATGGAGCTACCTTCCCTTAGCACTGACTTAACTTTGCAGATGAGAAATCTGAGATGGAGAAGTGAGGAAACAGTGAAGTTAGTAGTATGTATGCTAAGCTTCGTACAGGTCAAACTGATGTGGATTAGCTAACAACATGTGACAATAGATGCTTTAAAGCCTGAAAAGTAGCATACCTATTTAGAGATATTCTTTGCTTTCAAAGCCAACTCTAAAAATACAGGTAAGTCTAGAGCCATTTGCTGTGCACTTCATAAGGCAAAATCTGAGAGCTCTCTTGGGGTTCCTTTACTGTCATTCATCCCAAATTTGATTTACCCATAGCATTGCAGGAATTGCAGAAATTGAGATGTACAGGTCCTGGAAAAATAGTCCCAAAACAAAGAGAGGTTTTGTTTTTTATTGTGATGAGAAACAGAAGTTGTGGGTTACTGTAAAATAATCAACTGTGTAACTTTACCATCTTCCTTTCCCTCAAGTACTGCCAAACATTTTAAGCAGACATTTTTTTCGGTCTCTATTTATGAAACTAAATTTGAAAATAGTGCTATGATATAATATTTTGAATAGAAATTGGCCCACTGTCAATGAACTTTCTTACCATTTATTCTCGGCCTAGAATCAGTGGAGAGCTTACTTATCCTTTAGTAATGGATTATAAGGTATTTAATAAACATGTGAAATATTTGGCAGGTTTGAGATTTTCCTTAGCATTGAAATAAGTTGCATAAATTGCAGCACGTTTGGGAGACTAGTTTGCAGTGCTGTAGGTCATGCTGGAAGTGTGCTGGCACCACAACTGTTTTTGAAAATCTCTCTGCCAGAAAATTGTCTGGCTGTAGATAGTATTATCAGCCTTCAGTTCATCAGAATGGGCTCTGTGGCCCGTAGGTGGGTTTTCTAAATGTAATAAACTCCATATGTCACAGCCATTTAGTATATTATTAGCCACTTAAAAGTTTTACCTCTGCTGAATCTTACATGCTTTAAAAATAAAATCTATTTTACAGCTGAGTAAATGTAAACAGTTTAAATATCGGCCTTAGATTTGCCATCACTAGGCTAACTTTGCCATCTAGTGGTAGCAACATGAATAACAGGCAAGTTCCTCCCTGATGACTAGGAATTGAACTTCCCTGAGAAGCATTGATGAGTAAATTACTTGTTTTTTTCTTATTTGCGGTTTACTCTAGAACTTTAAAGCTGGAAGAAATCTTAAAAATGTTCTAGTCCAACTCAATAGTTAAGGACTATCAGAGCAATTCTTTAAAAAGGCTTTGAAATGATGCATGGCAGAGATAGCACCTGGTATGCATTTGTCGAATAGACAAATTTATCTACCCTGTTCTAATTCTTGTTTTTCTCTAGCAATATTGCACCCTACCACCATGAAGCTTTGTTGTGATCATCTGTTTTTAGTTTTAAAATTGCATTCTGTATATTTTTTCTTAAAATAACACATTTTCATTTATGTTTTAAGTCCTAGAAGCAAATATTCTTTTTCACTTTCTCTTTTTTTTCCCCCAGACGAGGTTGTCCTGTCTCGTTCTAGTTGCTTAGGCTGGAGTGCAGTGGTACAATCATAGCTCACTGAAGCCTCGACTTCCTGGCTAAGGTGATCCTCCCAACTCAGCCTACCAAGTAGCTGGGACAACAGGCATGCGCCACCACACTTGTGAACTCAAGTGATCCTCCCATCTTAGCCTCCCAAAGTGCTAGGATTACAGGTGTGAGCTGCCACACCTGGCCCTTTTCTCCTTTTTAATCACTCCCTACTTCTCTCTCTTTCTTTTTTTTTTTTTTTTTTTTTTTTTGGTCGGCGTCTCGCACTGTTGCTCAGGCTGGAGTGTCGGGGTGTGATCGTGGCTTACTGCAACCACTGCTTCCCAAACGATTCTCTTGCCTTAGCCTCCCTAGTAGCTGGGATTACAGATGTGCGCCACCACTCCTGGCTAATTTTTGTATTTTTAGTAGAGATGAGTTTTTACCATGTTGGCCAGGCTGGTCTGGAACTCCTTACCTCAAGTGATCCAGCCACCTCAGCCTCCCAAACTTCTGAGATTCCAGGCGTGAGCCACGGAGCAGCCACTCCTACTACTTCTTTTTCTTCTAAACAGTCAGGTAGACTGTTGTCAAAATGCGATTCTCACCTTTGTAAGTGTATTCGTTTCCTATTACTGCTGTAACAAATTACCAAAAACTTAGTGGCTTAAAAAAAACACAAATTTATATGTTATGCATCTGGAGATCAGACCTCTAAAGTTTTATCATGATCTTCTGTTTTTAGTTTTAAAATTGCATTTCTGCATTTTTTTTTTCTTAAAATAACACATTTTCATTTATATTTCTCCTTCTGGAAGTTCTAGGAAATACTTTTTCCTTACCCTTTTCAGCATCTAGAGGCCACTCACATTCCTCAGCTCATGGTCCTGTCACCACTCTGGCCGCGGCTTCCATCTGGCAGCTCTTCTCACTCTTAACCCATCTGCCTCCTTCTTATATGGGCCCCTGTGATTGCATTAAACCCACCTGGATAACCCAGAGTAAACTCTTCATCTTAAAATCCTTAACATAATCACATTTGTAAAGCCCCTTTTCCTGTGTGTGGCAAATATTCACAGGTCCTGGGGATGAGGATATTTAGCAAACTACAATGAGGCAGTTAGAGATGTATGAAACACCTTTAATATCTACCTGAGTGTTGGCCCCCTCTGTTTGATACTAATAACATTTGCTTTAATCTTTGTTGAGTGCTTACTGTGCTCTGGGCATTGTGCTTATCATATTAGTTTCTCAGAAAAATATTCTCAAATATTATCCATATCTAATAAATGTGGGAAATAATGTTTGGAGAGATTAGGTAACCGTCACAAGATCACAGTGTAACAGGTGGCAACTATACTTAAGTTGATCTGGCTTCAAAGCCCACTTCCCCCATAGTCATTGAAACACCCTGGTTCTTACTCCCCACTTTTATTATGTTACAGACACTGCTATTTTCTCATACACTTTCTAACTTAAATGTTGCCTCCATGCAGTGCTGCTGTCAGGGAGCACTTCAGTGGGTCAGGAATTAGATTTCGTAAGATACTCCTTCTCCTCAGCATCTGTTCCCCCAAAATAAAATTGACTATGAAAAGTTTTTACAATTGTCATCCAAAACATAACCGCTTTCTTTAGTGCTTGCTTTACTCCTGTTTACTGTCACCTGTAACTGTCCTCCTCTTCTGCTGTGGCCTTTTGCCTAAGCCACTTCTTGCTGCAGTTATTCAGAAGCATTTGGCCAGGCCCCAGTGTCTCCCTGTTGTGTGTCAATCCTGTGTAGGTGGAGGATGAAAGTAGAGGAAGAGATGAGAGCATGTCTTCACATTTAGACATGCATGGAAGCAAAGCCAGTGGTAGTTGGGAAGGACAGGTGGTTGGGATTGCAGATGGCTAGCTAGAGGACAGCCAGGTTTTAAAAGGTGGTCATGGAATCATTGGTGTGCCCTAACACACACGCTAAAGTAGAGGGTGGTGTTGGCCCTGCAGGGTCACTGATGGGACTGCACAGCAGTCCCTGACCCACAGCAGCCTCCCAGGAATTGTTTGAGGGATCAATGCAAAGTTGTGTCCCATGGCAACATACTATTTACATGAACATGGGCAAGTACCTCACTAGACGTTACAAGGAACCAGGTGAA